CATGAAATGAGTGATTTTTCCTGGAATCCAACAATTGAACGATTCGAAGCAAAAGAGGAAGTTTGAGAGCAACTAATAAAGGTAAATTTTTATTTTATCATATGTTGTTTGCCATTTTTGATGCTGTTCAAATATTAATATAGCTATTCATTCTAGGCTCAACCTAAAACAGCAAAACTGAAAAACAAATACATGCGAAATTACGAGAAAATATTAGAAATGTATGGAAGAGATAGAGCTAGTCAGTCTACAAGTGAGACATCCCTAAACCCTCGAAGACAAAGGAAGAGGAGTGGTGATGAACATGGTCTGGATGCTACAAGTGAAACACCACTTACCTAAGATTTAAGTAGTAATTTTAATTTTCATAATCTGGATAGTTCATGTAAGGCTCCAATGCCCGAAACTCCTACTTCGAAATCCAAACATGAGGTGCAAGAATTTTTCATGCGGAAGAAAACAATATATTTGACAACAATTTATGAAGAAGAATATCTGGCTGTTAAAAAAATGAATTTAGAAGTTTGAAACTAATAAAAAAAAATATGATTGCACACATGAAATTTTATTGATGATTAATTTTTTAAACAATATTAATTAATAAATTAACTCATGATTTATGATTATTTCAAGTACATTTTAATTTTTTTATTTGTTGAAATAATTTTAGAGTTAATATAATAATATATAATTATAACCATTTGTTTCTAATATATAAATAATTTTATTTTTATTAAAATTAAATTAATATAATAATATAAATAATTATTATTTATTTTATTAAATATAAAAATTTATTTTGATTACATGTAGTAATTATTCATTTGAATACAAATGTAATTATATTGGTAAATAATTTTTTTTTTCATTACATACTTCTTATATACCATTTACTATTACATATAATAAGTAGAAATAAATTAATAATTTGATTAAAAATACAACCATACCATCCTATTATCCAAACAAAAATATGTCATTAACATACATTAGTATACAATCATTCAAACATAAAAAAATTTATTTCATTCTCATCATGTGTCATTGTTATCCAATCACTGTTATTGTCATACATTAATTAACAATCAGTAAAATTTATTCAAATAGGGTGTTAGTTTTCTTTCCCCTTCTCTAGTAAGGTAACGGAATCAAATTAGGTTTAGCTCTTGCGATCTAGGCTGGCCTCCCAAGCCTAGTTCATTAAAAAATGTAATGGTCTTTGCTAGCCTTTCAACTATCTATATATTTGACTCTCATTCCTGATCTCAGAGCCCGATCCTTCCACACCCGAGCAAATTAAGTTACATTTTAAGGTCTACTTTAATATACTATTCATTAATTGGAGATTGCGCTATTTGATTTATTAGTGTAAAATCATTATGGGTTCAAGGTTTTCTTCGACTGAGAATGATGTCTCATAAGGCAAATGCCAATTTGAGCAAAGAAAACTTTGTCTCCTCAAGAAAAAAAGATAAAGGAGGAGTTACATCCTGAAGTGAACCAAAAATGTCGAGAGGAACCTCACTCGTTGAAGGATTTTTCCTGAATGCATCAGTCAGTAGGGACAAAGCTCAATTTCAAGAAAAAGAGCAATGTGTTAGCTAATAAAAAACATAAGGAATGATATTTTGTAGGAAAAATTTATGAATGTTGATGAAAAAAATATAGGTTACAGATCAAGAGACATATTAAACTAGTTAGAAGGTTAATCATAAACTTAGAGTTGGAATGTTAATGGGATACGTGAAAAAACATACACAAAACCTTATTACAAATGGTGATCCAACTCAATCCACATTCACTCTTTTCTAACTTAGATTCACCTTCCTAAAAGTGTTGAATCCATAACTAATGTTAGGTCTAAATTAGT